ACCGCAATTGTCACCTCTGCTGTCGTCGTCTTCGTTGAATGCATGTTCTTTGCCGTTTTTTATACACCTTCCGTCTTCGTTGTACCTCAATCCCCTCCTCTCTTCTAGTCTCCTCCCCGCCGATCTTATGCTGTTTGCAATCGCTGCACCATTCGAGTCCTGCGTCCCGCGGGTTATACCTTGCTCGTGGGCCCAATGCCATAGACCATGTACAGTACAAACGGGGCAGACATCTATCCCATGCAAAGCCAGTGTCCGTCGGCTGCATAGACCGCAAAGATCGATCCAGATGTACAGAACTGCGCGGTTATAGAAGGGACAACGCGCACAACCCGACAGGACCATGTCGCGGTGAGCTTCCCTCAAGTTCAGCAAGACCCGACAGGACCCGAGGACCGTCCAGGAGCACGGGGTGCGAGAGAGGGAGAGGGGAGTCTGTACGGACGAACTCATCGGATATGATGGGACTGCGACATCGGCAGACCCCTGGGGGACATTTTTGAAGTTGAGAGACCTTCCTCGGAACTCGCAAGGTAACCTAGCCCTTTTCTGCACGACCTCCTATCCGGTCACGCTTTCTTTATCGTGCGAATGTTATTTTGGTCCCTTTTGCATCCGCTCTCGCGGGTATGCTCCTCTGTCCTCAACCATCATCATCTCCATGGGCCCTTCAGTTCCGTCATCGCGTTCACAGGTACGGCATCACCGCCTTACACTGTTATCTTTCTTGACTTTCTTGCAGCCCTCGTGCATTGATTGTGACACTTTCCGTCCTCTGCGTGGCCTTGAGACCCTCCCGCCGCACACCGTCTTCGTCCTCTACCCACTTCATTCGGGCAGTCCCCACACTGTCAGTGCGCCTCCTGACTACAAGCCGATGCGGTGTCTCGAATGTCGACGGAAGAAGAAGGGGCGATGTGTTCGAACTTTGCAAGGACCTTGCACGTATGTCGCTCCTCTGTATCCTCCCTGGCATATTTTGACCTTGGTACAGACGCTGCCTTTTGTCTAAAACCAACGCCGCTGCCTGTGTGTATCCAGCACAGTCGTATCAAGGAACTCGTAGTGACCTAAACCGGCTCTCCCCCGGTGCTCAGGATCCGTTGTCATCCACGACGGCTTCGTGGCTTACTCGTGACTCGCCTCCGTGTACGGGGAAGAAACTGTTATTCTGCGAGTAGTAATTGTTATCGTACTTGCAAATCCCACATTTATGTCCATGCATCTTCTTACCGATCGCGAGACTGTCTCGCGGTTTTCTGTCACGTGCCAAGCGCGTGGTGGCTTCGTGGCGCGCGTCGGATCCTGTCCGAGCCTTCTTTACTTCTCCCCACGACGTTCTACTTACATGTTTTCTCCCACTTTATTGGAACGGCTGTCTTCCGTAAGAATATAGTTCTTACAGCGCATACCGTCTGAACTATCGTTCCAGCGCCACCACGTTTCTCAGCGCGACATCGTGCTCCTTTTCGTGAAGCTGCTGGTGCCTTACCTTCCGCCCGGAGAACCCCATGCGTCTGGAGTCGGTCTTTCGGCTGGGTGGATTCCACTGGCCGGCATTCACCCCGTTATTCGTCGGTGGCTACTGGACGAGCACAGTCTATGGGCCGCTGCCGTCTGCAGCGTCCCCTCCACTACTGCAATCTCAATGTTCCTCGATCGGTCCGGTGACTGTCCTATTTCAATCGACCTCACGCTTCTCTACCGCCATTCTTCCCATCGCGACTTCCCCTTGCTTATGGCCCTGCTCATGAATCGCGATACCTTCGCCCCACCACCTGTTATTCGCGCTATCGAGTTTCTCCCTATGCACGTCGACAACCTTTCATACCACGCCGGTATCCGACATTACCTCGAGGCCTGGCCCGTGACATTTTCAGGAGTCACGTTTGCGCACCTCGCGCGGCTGACTCTTCATGTGTTATCGTCGTTCCCCGCTTTCTCCGCCCCATCGTTGGAAGAGCTTGTCTTGCTTGGTGTGCGCACATCCGAGACGATGTCGGTGGTCACGTCCTGGAAGTTCTCGCCCAAAATCTCTCTATCTAACTTCCGATCATTACTCGAAGGCGTGCAGCGCCTCGTATCCGTGGAGATCCGGAACCTCGATTTGGACGCCAACTCCACCCGTTGCAATCCATTGCAGTTGCACGATTCCTTGCAAACGAGAATATTGTCTATGCGCTCTGCGTCGGCCGTGACAGCTTTCCTCGCTTGTTTGCGGAGTGCGCGCGACACCGAGACGGTTATTGTCACCCGGATACCGTATGGAGATCTTCTTCCTGATTGGACATGGGGTTCTGCAGGCCTGAACCCCGCCCGTTCTCTGGCTCTCGTAGCCGAAAGCTGCAACAACTTCATATGGCTTACCTTTTTGTCTATCGATGACGCCGCTTCAGCAACACGGCCTGTTTATTGTGACGCGGATGATCCGTATTCCATCTCGGAAGCGCGACCTAATCGTCCCAACCTCTTCGTGCGTAACGGCCGCATCTCGAGGCTTTATATCCCCGATAAACTGGACGCCTACCGAAACGCGCTTTGCGATGACATACTCTCCCGGTCTTCATTCATTCGAGCTCTCTACGTGTCTGAGTTGGCGGTGAAGGTGGATGGCGTCGACGTCTGGCTCAGGAAGGCCCACAATTTTGTCCCATACATCATGCGATCGCTGGATGACATCACGTCCCGGGTTATTGAGGACGAGCGCATGGCACACCTACCTCTTTACGCGTCAAGCACTTGCTCGAATGTGCATTTCTACTGTCGCGATGACTGGTATGGGTTATCCCATCTGTCTTACTTCACGCAGGCCATTCTGGATCCGCGGTGCACGTATGTCAAGCATGTTTGGCTACACGGCGCGTTGAGAACCGTGGATTTAGATTTGTTCGCCAAGTTCGCCACTGCCTGCGCGGTCCGCTTCGTCGTTTTGCATGACAAACGCAAGGACGTTGGGCCCTCTTTGCCTGTTGTCGGTCGTGCGGCTGAGCTCAGAACCGCTCGTGCCATTGAACATTATCACATGGTATGTTATTGGTTCTTGTTTCTATTGCCTGCTGATATTTGGTTTAGATGAAGGTTGTTTCTCTCGAATTGGAGCGTGATATGGACGGGCAGCATTGAATGTTGGAGAACGTTACGTCCTATATCTACAACGGGCCTACTACGTATCCTTCGCCGCTGAAATTACCGTTTGATTGCCGTCCTGTCCATCTCCAAAACGAAGGAGGCGTCGTGAAACGAACGTGTCCAAACGAGGCAGGTACTAAGCACGGTTCTTCTCGCGGCGCATCGCACCACCTCACCGTCATGGTCTCCACGTCCTCTGTGTATCGGAGTGTACACGGGTTGTACCGCAGCTCTTCTTCTTTGCCCATTCGATCAAAGGCGCACATAGAGAACCCCCGCCCGCTGTACTTCTCCTCACATCTCTGTCTCCTATCCCTGCTCGTACGAGGATTGGTAAGAGCGCGTCCTGCTAGCGTCGACTTAGGATAAAGTGCCACAATACTCGACGGCGTGATGTAGTTCATGACCAGTGTGCTCCAGAACGATGTGATCGGGAGGGTTGCTACATCTCGTTGAGCGCACACGATGTCGATGTGTGTCGTGTACGCGGAGCTGGCCAGTCTCGTTACAGTTGAGACGCAAGTCGCGTCCTCCCAGTACGCTTCTTGGTCGTTCGTGGGTATTGGAGTAACTTGATATCCGTCTGTATCCTTCAGGAAGTTGATAATGGTCTCTGCGGCCTCCCTCGATGGAACGTATATGTCGAGATCGCTGTTCCGGCTCCAGTTCCCCTTATTGTCCCATTCTGAAGCCTTCAAGATCACGGCTAGCGCCCTCGATCCCGACACGACCCCTCTAACCAATGCCAGCTTCTCGTATAAGCGTGCGCCGTTCGAGACGTTCCTCTCGGTCTCCTCTATCACTCGTTGGCTCCATTCACCCTGCGCAGCGCTTCCGAGCATATAGGACGTGCCGGATAGACTTTTGAGCGCCATGGTATCTGCATAGTGCAATATTCTCCCGATAACTTCCGGGGCGAGCATGTGCAGTCCGAACATGATGTCCTGACACTGTTTGTACATATCACGTGTCGGCATACAGTCATGTATTGTTTTACATACCTCTGGCCGTTGTGGTCGTCGACGGGAAGATGGGGATGCGCTTCTCTTACCGTCCCCGTCCGCTCTTATGTTATTGCGTTCGGCTCGGAGACTTTTTTCCTCCGCGAGTCTCGCGGCAGCATGTCTTACATTGACTCTCAGTGTCTTACAAACTCTGACGCCGTCTAGTAGTATAGTTCAGGATACCGGAACTCCTCCGCCTCCAGTGCGCGCACGTTCATCTAAACAGTATTTAGCCAAATCGATTTTCCGAATTCCCAGTGCTCTTACCTTCGCTTCCTTTAGTTGCCGACGAGCTTTTTGCAGCTCTCTTTCTATTTTCTCCGTCATCTCTTCGCTGTCTATACCTTGCACGATCGTCCGCCTATCTTCTACGTCGTACCCCTGCGACCGTTTCAGTGTTTTCATGCAATCGCTGTCGACGTAGCGAACGGGCCCCGATACTACCACAGTCACTCTCCCTGTAGCTTGCGCTATCACTCTGCCGACCGCCTCAACAAAGCCTCCCAATCCGCTTTTCCCATCCCAGTCTGCGCGACATGTGAAACGAATCTCGCGAATGTCGCGGCTGTCGACGGCATCGAGAACCGTACGTGCAATTCTCTCGTCTTCGATCGTGATGGATTCCAGGCTGTGAAGGTTCTGCACGAGCCTCACGTTCCCCGCTTTACGAAGCCATGTTCTGTGCCCGTTATGCGTCCTCCCAAGTTCTCGAACGACCAGATGACGGATATTACGCGCGTCCAGACCCAGAAGAGCGTCGTGCGGGTCGGCTCCAAGTACCGCTTGCTGTGCAGACAGTGCTGCTGCCCGCCAGTAAAATGAAGAACGGCTTTTTCTTTCTCCCGTGAGACAGGGAGAACTTTGCCCATCACAGAAAGCCGGCTTAATGGCATCTCGAGTGGTGTGGTGGCATATCGTGACCCAGCGGAAGAGGTCGCATGTCTCGACGATAATGTCGAGCCCGCTGACGTCCGAAAGCCCAGCTCGTTCTATCATTTCAGGAGTAGGGCTGAACAAGGTGCCCAAAGTCGAAGATATATTGAGGATATGGAAAGGTGGGGGGTCGATACGTGATGCGAACTTGAAGATGTTGTCGAAGTGCGGCCCTCTGATGTTCATTTGACGCAAGCGTGGTAGATGAACGCGGGTAGTTGGATCCTGATGGGAGCTGTCCGTGATAGTCACAGCGTTGAAAGTGAGGGTTTCCAGTCTCGAGTATGATTCAAGCCAGTCAAGAAGGTCGTTCATTTCGAATGCGGGTGCTGCACCCCACGACCGCTCGTGTCTGAAGATCATCCGCGAGCCTATGGGTGTGCGCTCTCGTCCTGTAGTCGTCTGACATGGCACGATCTCGAGGGACGTGAGACGAGAGTTGATGAGAGTTGGCAGCGACGACGTCCCTGTCATGTGGTAAATGAGCGTCGTCAGACGGGGAAAGTTGGCGTGAGTAAAGATGTCTGCCCAGACTTCGTCGCCCATCCCTCCTCTCAAGCAGTTTATCGCGCTGGATCTGGGCTCCGCGCTGAGAAGGCTGGAGACGATGACGTGGGCTCGTTTCAGGATGGCTCTGTTGCTCAGCAACCATTCAATGGCTGCTGTATCTTGGATGATGTAGCATCCTGCGAGTAGATCGTCGATGTTGATATGGAGGGGCGCCCTGCTCGCCCTGCGGATGAATTCCTGGATGATCTCCGCTCGCGGATATTTGCATATGTTCTCGCCCCAAAGATCGCGCCGAGACATAGCACTTTCCCTCCACATTCTGTTCACGTGCGATATCTTCAACCAGCCTGCGTCCATAAACGACCTTTGGTTCTGCTTCTTGTCTATGATCGAGATGGGACTCTGTCGAGCCAGCAGCGCAATTATCTCGCCTTGCACGTCCATTGGGAGCTGCTATATCGTCAGTCAGAAGTTTCACGGGCCACCAACCAGCCAACGCACTGTAGTCTCGTATGTTGCTACTGCCGCGACTTGCTCCATAAGATGGCGGTGAGGTGTGAATTGTGCTTGTGGTGGTATGTTGACACTTCGTGATTGTCATCACGCCTCGGATGTCTACACGTGTCTTTCATCACTTGATCATTCCCACGCATGTCGCGAGACCGTCTCGTCGCAGCGCGCCTCGTGGCAGGGCATTCGCCGAGATCTGCGAACATCCAATTCCGTCTTCCAAGCGGTGGCGTTAAGGTGATCACGATCCTCAGTCCATATTTGGCCTTCGTGGTCTTACGTCGCACTGTACTGTGTCGCAATTCCACTTCTGCCTGTGGTGCCGTGTCGGCTGCTTAGCGCATGTTTTCTTCTTGTTCCCATCGCGCATGCGGTCTCTACTCCGATTGTCGGTCCAGCGAATAAGCGCCGGGACCGTCTATCTGGAATTGGGGTTATTGATTCGTTGTTCACGTGGGATAGGGAGCAGTTCTATATAATCTGCTTCCTTCGAATGCCCGCCCCTTATCGTCAGCACCCCACTTTCCATCTGCCATCATGACTCAAACCGCATCCTCTGGGTCTCCTCCCGCAGGTGCGTATGTTCCCTACCTCCTTATTGCGCGTAATAATGTCGACTCCCGTAGGTTTCTTCATCGGCCGGGAGGGGAAGATGGTGCCCAAGGGCCAGAACCAGTATATCGCATACGGCGTTCGTCGCGGCAGGCGCGGCACGCGGGTTGTCTTATCGCAGTAAGTTCCAACCGTCTTTTGCAGAGTCGTCTGACTTTCCCTCTTCCTAGTGCGGCCATGCTTGCGGATATCGCGAACGTCTCGAACGCTGCCGGACGAGGTTTTGACTCGTTTGAGGAGGCTCAGGCCTGGTGCGACGAGTTCATCCTGGCGAACAACCCGCAGCGCATTGCGGTCCTGCGTGAGGAGGTAGATGGGCTGGTCTTGGAGCTGGCAGCCGCTCGCTCGCGTTCCTGATTATTCTAATTCTTGCTTCCGCGCTGTTGTCGTCTAAGTCGCCCGGAATCGAAAAAAAAATATTTGATTCCGCTTCCGCACCGGGATGTACGAATAACGGATGCTCCTGCCGCGTCGAAGATTACGCGTTCCTGTGCCGTCGATTGTTTAATGAGGTTTTTCACTCCACGTGGGTGGGAACGGACTAAGAGAATCTGTTATAAGGTTCCTGTCGTGGTCTTGAGCGTGGTCAGATGTTCCTCCGCGATCGCATTCTCTCTTCCTACACCTCCCGTGGTCTGTACTCTTACTGCCCATGGGAGGGGCATCATGCGGATCCGCGTCGTATTACGCAGTACGGCTTGGACGTTGGCTGCGCCGTCGACAACATCGTGAACAGTCAGAAACGGTTTCACTTTCACCCAGATGACTTGTATGTCTGTATCCTATATCCACCGCTCTGTCTCATTGTCTTCTGCAGCGTGGCTGTTGTGCACGATCTTTCTACATCATCCGCTAGGGTTGCAGTACCTGTAGAACCAGAATGGGCTGAGGTGTGGGTGGGTCAGATTCAGCATATGACTTCCCTCGATCATCGCGTGCGTTTGTTGTCTCATTCACCAGAACTTGTCTGATTGTGTTAGGAGGCTGACGTTGCTGTGAAATGGACTTACTCGTCCAGCGAGCTTCTCAAGTTGGAACGCAGAGAGCAACTGCATTCCTCGATTGGGTTAGCGGATTCTCTCCGTGTCTTTGATCGCCCTGATGTATTTGTTGATCAGGAACATCGACTTTGGACCATGGGCGCGCGTTCTCAGTGATCATATGGACGTCATACCGTCTTCATCAGTCGCATGTGAGCCTGATTTTTTGGAAGTTCGAGTGCGAATGTCCTTACCACATGCAGCCGTACTAGACCTTTCTACGGAAAAGAGTAGCTCTCAGTTATATCTCAAGAAGTGGTCTATAAAGTGGAGTAATAGAGAGGTAAGCATCTCCGCGTCTAATGTATACCGTATACTCAGTAGTGCAGGAGCTCTTCAGACCCGCACCGCTTGTTCTGTAACGGGTATGGAATATGATTACGCTGTACGATCCACATTTTGTTCATCGAGCCCGGCTTTCTTCAAAACCTTTCTTGGCGGTACTATCCTCCATCCCGTGCAGTTGAGGGAGTTGCACTTGCACAGCGCGTCGTCCGGCGCTTGTGCCCGTCGGGATAGTTGGAATCGTTCGTTCTGAAGTACCTCTTAGTCGGTTGTGGGTATAGATGGCGTGTTACTCACTAATGTTAGACCTTCCATATTCCAGTACGAGAATGTCAATTCCTCGCAAGGCAATATATCGCGCTGCGCTCGCAATATGACAGCGGTTCGCAGACCTGGCTTGCTGCCATGCTCCACAATTTCCGGTATGAGATTCGGATTGCACCCATGGTTCTGCGTTGTGTCAGCATTTTTCCCCTGGAATATGGCTAGATCTTACAACGAAACCAAGCCACTGTTCGTAGAATAATTAGTGCCTGAAGGTGGTAAAGTCTGATCGACGCACGTTGCCTGACATCTCTGCGTCAATGAACAGTCTTTCGTTCCACGTCTTGTGTTTCTGGCAATCCCTGCAGCAATGCCGTGAATTGACATTTCCGGCGTATATCATATAATTATATCGGCCCTGCGGTTGGTTTTTCGTTCGTTTTGGCCGACTCATTGCTCGTCCTTCCCAATCCTCCAGCGCTTTGGTTTTTTTTAGCGATTGCTCGCTCTCCCAAGTTCTTCCTATGTGCCCCTTCCACTGAACTAGGAACCGTTCTACTTCCTCTGGTTTTTTGTGTCCTTGTAGCACATCAGTATAACAGTGTCGCTTTCGGTTACATGGTGTTACGCGTACCTCGTTTCAGCCGTCTGCCCTCATAATTGACTTCCGCGTCGTCGATACACCCCACATACTCGCCAACGATAAAGTCTACGTCCCACTCGTGTCTCGATTTTCCCTCTTTTCGAGTCTCATTCTCCATACGCTGCTGTATATGGGCTGCATCGGCCAACACCAATAGCCTAAGACGAATCGTAAATCAGCGATCCTCAAACGAGATCTGCGGTCACGCACCCCTTCGCGGCCAACAGTTCTGTCTCTGTGACCCATTCACCTGTGTACGGCCCTATTATTTCGCCCTCTCGAAATCCCGCTTCACTAGCAAACAGTCCTGTAGACTCTTCAGAACTTGCTCCTGTGGATTGTTTCGATGCGTACCGTATCCCCTATCTGAAGTTTTGTGTAGCGTTACTCTATCATAATTTAGCTCCTGCACCTGTTGTAGGATATCAGCAAAATGAGAATGGCGTTTCTTTCTGCTGTCAAGTACCGCGTTAGGGCAGCGCCCTGAGCAGCCACAATAACGGTGGCACCTCCCCTCTCTTGCATAACAGGGACAGTCTTTACCCTGACATCCGGTTGTCCTGCACGTGCAGCCATCACCAGTACCCCAGCTGTCTTCCATTCGGTTCACGTAGTCCTCGCCCATCGGTGCAAAACTGTTGGGGTCATCTCGAGGTCTTGCCGACGCGCGTACATGGCTTGGCGCGCTCATCGTGGTCTAAGAAAAGTTCTTGATGCTGATCTGACAGATGGGCTGCGGTTTCGTTCCCACCCGTTCCGTGTTGGCAAACCGCGAGACGGTCTCGCGGTTGCGTGGGAAATCCCACGCGTTGCGCACGTGGAGGTGATCGCACGTGCTTCGCACCTCGACGCTCTTGTCTCTTGACTTCATCTGCTCTTGCATCGCTGTCTACCATAGCCATGGCTCCTAAGGGCTCCAAGTCTAAATCGAACAAGCCTCGCGTTGAGAGCACGTCGCCGTACGTGCAGGCTAACATTCTCGGCGACGAGTCGGTGGCCGCGCTGGAGGATGGTCTACGTTCAAAACGGCCCGCTCTAAGGCCCATGTCGCAATTGCTGAAGAGTCTGCCGTTTAACTACTCGGCGATTTTCACCGAGCAATCTCTTTTTGAATGGTTGCAACCTGTTGTTGGTGACGCTGTTGCCGATACGGACTTCCTCTTGGTAAATATTCTTTCCACCCCGCCGTGGTTCTACGTTGACCCCTTCTGTGTCAAGGATTACGCGAAATATCTGGATTGGTGGGAGAGGTCTGGTATTTACAACGAGCCGGCGGAAGGCAGGGATCGAAAACGGTTGAAGGAGCTGCGTCTTGTCATTCGCCGATTCGGCTTGGAGACGCGGGAGGTGGAGCCGGCTCCCGATCAGTTCCTCACTATACAACTGGCATCGCCTCTGATTTGGACGGACACTCATCAGTGGCTCATATTGCTGATGTTCTTTGATATCCTGTGCGACTTGCGCAACCTCCCTACGTCCGCTGTGTTTCGCGTCCCGCCCTCCCCGGCCCAGCTATTCGATATAATGGATAAGCTACAGCCGGTGAGTGTATTCTGTCGCTATGTGTGCGTTCTTTCTGAAATTCCTGTAGGGCTGGCTTTCCATGCGTGTAAACTGGCCTTTGTCTGTCAAGGCATCGATTCAAGTTGTGAAAGCTGCGCATGGCTTGGGTGAAGAAGATGACTTGACGATGGACACTCTCGCCAGTCTGAGATCTCTCACGGTAACCGGTCAGGGTCAGTCGACGCATACTGGTCCACTTGTGGCACCGCCTTTTGTCTATCCTGGTTCTCCAGACTCGTCTGAGTCTTCTGCATCCCCGTCCGCACCGGAAGTTTTGACCATGGTTCCCTTCGGGACCGGCAGTCAAGACAAAATGCGGCAGTTGTTTGCAAAGCTCGACTCCATGTCTCTTTCGGTTGCATTTGATCGCATCATGCCGTCGGTCAAGAAAGCAGACGAGCAAGGTCAATACCTTGCGATGACGGTCAATATACAACTTGCGGCTCTGGCGGTCAACTATATCCAGGCCGTGCGTTTCCTATTCTTTTCCATATGTCTGTCTTCATTGATTTTTTTTCTCAGAACGTGCGTGAAGCCAATACCTTTTCTCTCCGAGATATCACGCAGAACATCGCGGCGTGAGTGTATTTCGGCATGTGTTGATATCGGCCGTATTTTTGCTGACTGTCTTTAGTCCGGAGAGAGTGGAGTGGATGGGGCCTCGCTATATATTTCAGCCCTTCATGATCATGGTGGCGTATTCGCCGCTCTTTCTTCTGGCAAGAACGCGGTTGTATTCGTCACCGTTGCCTTCCTTCGCCGTCGCCTTTGAGGTTTGTTCATCTCTCTTTTTCATCGACACCGCCATCTCATGTTTGGCTGGCGCAGATCTTCAAGCTCAAGGGGAATGCTGGCAAGCCTCCCGCTCTTCGGGCTCTGGAGCACAGTATCTGGGCTCTAGTCTTGCAAGTCGCTCAGGGATCTTCGGTCTATCAGTTGCTCCCTATCTATATGTCGGCGTGGATTGCCGACATCGATATCGATGAAGTGGATGAGTGCAAGACTTGGTTGGACGATTTTGGCAAGCGTCGTCAGTCTATCATTACGTGTACTTCACATCTCGCTCATGGTTCTCTGTTTAGCTGAAACTGATGAGCGGTCTCGTATCACGGAATGGGATGGGAAGGATATCGTTAAGCTCAGTGCTGCTTATACTGCAGAGCGGGACAAACTTCGAGCCTGGTCCCCGGGTTTGAACGAGCATGGCAAGCGTCGAGCCTCACCACCGGATGACGCCGTTCCAGCCAAACGCCCTGTGAGTCAGTCGGCTCTTAGTCTTTGCCGGTCTCTAACGTCATCTCAGAATCGTGCTGGGTCTACCGCAAGCGGCGAAAAGCAGAACGCGAATGCCGCCACTTCCTCAAAGCCGAAGCCGATGGCGACTGCCAACTCGCGTGGAAGGTCTTCCATTCGCCAGTCAAACGTTACTTTTATGCGGACAACGCCGTCTCGTTCTAGATCGCACTCTCGCTCGAACCCAGCTCGTTCTGAATCTCCCGCCAGAAGGGCCTTGAATCGTTCACATTCTCGCGACCGGCGATCCTCTTCGGCGGACACGGACGATCCGATGTTTGGCCATCTTTCACCATTACCTGAACAAGAACAGCTTAGTGAGAACCCTGTGTGTTTCCTTTTGTTAGTCA